CGTGCTTTTGGGTTTCTGGTGCTGGCTCAGTTATCCTCCTGGAGTCATACCAGTGGCCATCAGGATAAGTCCTATAGTCTGCCTTCAGATGGGCCTCCCAAGGAAAACCCTACCTCCCCACTCTGACAGAGGGCCAGAATAGGCTTGCCTGGGGCTCTCTTGATTCAGTTCTTGGAAGGCCTCTTCACTTCAAAACCTGTCCTCCTGTTACCTCAGGATTGGCCGCAGACCCTCCCTCCTAATGCAGCTGCTTCTGTCAGGCATCGCAGGCGTGGCTGCAGCCTTTGTGTCCAGCTTTGAGCTCTATATGACCCTAAACTTTGCCTTGGCTGCTGCCAACGCTGGATTTTTACTAAGCGCCAATGTCCTGCGTGAGTATCTGGGCCCAGGAGCCTTCTACCTCAGAGTCAGAGCACCAAAGTTACCTGTGGGCATGGTATCAGGCAGCTGTATTGAAAAAGACCCCAACAAAATTCTCTGTGCTGGGACCAATCACATCGCTGACATGCTGGCATTTGGGAAACCGCCAGAAGGGGAGTGAGGAGATTCCATCCAGACTCAGCCCTTGTTTTCACAGTTTCAGAGTGGGTTGGGCCATCCCGGAGAACACAAGCCATGGTCCTGGCCCAGATTCACTTTGCCCTTGGGCTGATGGTGTTAGCAGGACTGGCCTATGGTGTCCGAAACTGGAGACTGCTTCAGATAATAGGCACTGCACCCGTCTTACTGCTTGTCTTCTATTTCTGGTGAGGAGACCCTTGCCAGTGACAGGCCACCCTAGTTGGGAGCACTGTGGCAGGATGCAGGACCCAGAGGAGGGAGCCCATAGGGCTTGACTGGGAGGTTCAGTGTGCACTGGAATTCTGGGTGGCTGCACAGAGCTCAAGACCCCAGCATCACAGCCATGTGTGGTTGACAGGGTTCTGCCAGAATCCCCACGGTGGCTCCTGTCCCAAGGAAGGATAGAGGAGGCCAAACAACTTATCCAGAAGGCAGCCTTGGTGAATGGCCGGCCACTTTCCCCAGAGCTCCTGAACCAGGTACTGTAAGCAGGTGAAGGCCCACCCCCAACTCAAGCCAATCTCCATGCCTGTGGCCTGGCCCGTCACTCTGCCCTTCTTGTAGCTGGTCCCTGAGAAGACAGGCCCCTCGGGGAATGCCTTGGATCTTTTCAGACACCCTTACCTCAGGAAGGTGACTCTGATTCTCATAGCTGTCTGGTAAGTGCCCAGGGCCTTGTCCCTCCATTAGGACAGATGCAGAGGGCCACTTGTTTTCTGCTGTGTGTCATTGGAGGGGTGGACAGAGGCTCTAACTTTGATGGTTTCTCCTCAGGTGGGCCCATGTCTCCTGGTCTGAACTCAAATGCCAGGATGTTCCTTTGGGTGTGACTTGCTGTACACCCAGCAGTGACAGGGATGCTTGGGTACTTTGTAGGTTTATGGACAATCTGGTATACTACAGCCTCAGCCTCCAAGTGGGGGACTTTGGCCTGGATATCTACCTGACACAGCTAATATTTGGAGCAGTAGAAGTACCTGCCCGCTCTCTCAGCATCCCCATGATGGAGAAGCTGGGTCGCAAGTGGAGCCAGCTCTGTGCTCTGACTCTGGCTGGCTCCATGTGCATCATCATCATCTTCATCCCAGGAGGTAGCAGGCTGTTTCCCTTCCTCCTCCCTGCCATGGCTAGAGCCATTGTCCCACCCCCTTCAGGACTAAGGGCTTCCCCAGGGTGTGGGTATAGAGGGTGAGGCATTTGAATAGACTGGGAGGTGTGCAGGCTTAGGTGATAGATGTCCTTTCTGTGTGACTGTCCTGCACTTCCTCCAGATCTTCCCACGGTGGTGACTGTGCTGGCTGTGGTGGGGAAGTTTGCTTCATCTTCTGCCTTCACAATTTCCTATGTGTACACTGCCGAGCTCTTCCCCACCATCATCAGGTAAGAGCTGCTGGGGTCCCTCTGTCCCTCTGTCCCTCTGTCATCAGCCCACAGATAGCCAGTGAGCTGCTTACAGGGCCTAGGAAGTCTAGTGCCATTCACCAAGGTGTCACTTGTGTGACA